AAAAGAGACCAGAAATAGTCTCTGGCCCCAGGGGGGTGGACACGAGTTTATAGAGGCACAATTTCAATGTGCGCTCAGCAGTACTATCCTGGGCAGGAGGCTGTGAGCCACAAGCACTTCAAGCTGTTTGGCCTTTTCCCTTTTTCTCTTGGTAGTTATTTATTGAACTTAATGGGGAAGATTTCAGGGCATTTCAACCACCTAGTTTTACTGAATGAAATAAAAACATCAAAGTAGACATTTATACTGGGGATAATTTAATGTTTATATGCTGTTTACTTTATAGCCTGGATTTCAAATAATTGCAGCATCTCTGTGTTTATATGGTGCTTTAGAAATATGGCAGTCAGCTCTAAAAGCAGTTGCTGCCATGGACACGGTGCTATCACTTAATTCCTTGGGAATATCTTCTCTGAATTTCTCATTAAGTCAAGGTTTCTAGTTAATTTAACATCTAGAATGATCACTTCATAAATTTCTTAGACCGTCATGAACTGCAAGCATTTTTTAAAATCTTAAAAATAATGAGGTTGGAATTTTGATACTATCTTTGGGAAAATGACAAATACTTTAGATAAAAGGTATTTTAAACTAAATTCCCCCAAATAGTAATCAGTCTCTATAAAAGTTCTCAGGAGACTACATGATTCACAGTACATTTTTAATACATTTAGGTATTATTTTGTGATTATAATGGACACACAGCTTTTTTTTGTTTGGTTAGATTTTATTTATTTATTCATGAGAACACACAGAGAGAGGCAGAGACATAGGCAGAGGGAGAAGCAGGCTCCCTGCAGGGAGCCCAGTGCGGGACTCGATCCCAGGACCCTGGGATCACCCCTTGAGCGAAATGCAGATGCTCACGCACTGAGCCACCCAGGCTTTGTTGTTTTTTTCTTTCTTTTTTTCAAGATTTTTTTAAAAGATTTTATTTATTTATTCATGAGAGACAGAAAGAGGGAGGCAGAAACACAGGCAGAGGGAGAAGCAGGCTCTATCAGGAAGCCTGATGTGGGACTTGATCCCGGGACCCCGGGATCATGCCTTAAGCCAAAGGCAGATGCTCAACTGTTGAGCCACCCAGGCATCCCAAGGTTTTTATTTATTTGAGAGAGAGAGAGAGAAAGAGAGAAAGAGAGCACGAGGAGTGTGAGTGAGGTGGAGGAGCAGAGAGAGAGGGAGAAGCAAACTCTCCACTGAACAGGGAGCCCACCTAAGGACTTGATTCCAGGACCCTGAGATCATGACCTGAGATGAAAGCAGACACTTAACCAGCTGAGCGACCCAGGCGCCCCTGTTGTTTTTTCTATACATGATTTGGTCCAATATAGAATGGACCCCCCCAAAAAAGTTTCATGGAATCCTCAGTCTATGAAGTATAGTGATATGTAAGTGACACACGATGATAATGTGGCAGAAACACACTGGTCAAAATGGTCTTCATGTATGTGCAATGCAAACTCTAGAATATAGTCAAGAATCAAAAAATAAGGACAAATATCTTCCCAACACTTAAATACTCATTATTTTTCAAAAGAGATGAGCCTACCAAAACACCTATTTGTCTTTCTTTCAAGTCTATGTCTGCTTGGATATTCATTTAGTTTCTCAGGAATGGAGAGAGGAAGAGAATTGTCAGAGACAGTGATACCCAACAGGATGAGGAGTGAGAATTGACTGCCTGGCAAGGATATTAAACTGCCTACATACACACAGGGGCTTCCTAGTTTCTTGTATTACAACACAACACAATAGTTGATTCAAGCAGGTATGGCTAAATTATATTTTGTGTACCATTTTTAAAAGACAGATAACTGCAATTCATTATAGACATATTTTTATTCTCTAAAAATAATTCAGATACAAATTTATGTTTTTTTAAAAAAGATTTTATTCATTTATTCATGAGACACACACACACACAGAGGCAGAGACATAGGCAGAGGGAGAAGCAGGCTCCATGCAGGGAGCCCGATGTGGGACTCGATCCTGCAACTCTGGGATCATGTCCTAAGCCAAAGGCAGACACTCAACCTCTGAGCCACCCAGGCGTCCCTATATTTATGTTTCAAGTAACCCAGAAAAAATTGGAGTCTGAGGATCCTTTTGTTTCCCAGTGAGGCTTTATTATACTTGAATTGGGAAAGTTGGTTTGTTGAGTTGTAGAGAATCTAGAAAGGTATCATTTACCTGGTGAATGCCCCCTCTGTGTTTGATTTATAGTTTACTACTTTTTAAAAAAGGTTTTATTTATTTATTCATGAGAGCACAGAGAGAGGCAGAAACACAGGCAGAGGGAGAAGCAGGCTCCCTGTGAGGAGCCGGATGTGAGACTCGATACTAGGACCCTGGGATCATGACCTGAGCCAAAGGCCGATGCTCAACCACTGAGCCACCCAGGCGCCTCTAGTTCTCATTTCTCTTAACCTTTATTTTCCTTTCTGCTCTCTACCTTTTTCCTTCCTTTCTTTGTTGTGTTGCCACTTGTATATGACACCCTTACCATCCAAGCTGGCTGTATCAAAGTATAATTTTGAAACTTTGCTCTTGTGTGAACCTTTGACATGGAGATATTGAGCCTGTGGGCAACAAGTCCCCATCCCCCTATCCAAATGTCACAGGCACCACACTTTGATCCTGGAAAATTGTAAGAAAGAGGCTCCTGTCACACGGAAAGAGAGTCTTAGGATGCATTCAGCTGTCTCTGCAACTACTTAGCAAAAACACACTTCTGCCCCAGTGCAGAGCCACATCGCCCATGTACAAAGCACCAAAAACAGCAGGGACCTCCCCTCAAAGACCTACTCCATGGACCTAGTCCATGCCCAAGCAGTTCTTCTTGAATATGTATCTTTGGTATTTTCCTGATTGCCGGAGTAAGAGATGCTGTTTGGCAAAATTTAAATTATCGCAGAATTATAAAAAATTCAAATCACCTCATAATTTCACTCCCCACCCCTTAGATAATACCTGCTAACAGTTTCAAAGAAATTCTAAATGTGGAGCACCTGGGTGGCTCTGTGGTTGAGCATCTGCCTTCAGCTCAGGTCGTGATCCTGGGGTCCTGGGATCGAGTCCCACATCGAGCTCCCCAAAGGGAGCCTACTTTCCCCTCTGTCTTTGTCTCTGCCTCTCTATGTGTATCTCTCATGAATAAATAAATAAAACCTTTAAAAAAATTCTAATTGTGAATAGTTCTTCAAATCAATTTTTTTTTCCTTCTGCTGTGCCTTGGATTAGAACATCGTCTATTTGGAACGCTCAGGATTCAGAAGGTTGTTGACCTTTTTTTGCTCCCCTACTTTTTGATGTGGATGTTTAGAGTACACACTTGAAAGGCTGGCTGAGTAACTGAAGTGAGGAAGGAAGGTATGGCTCCTCCATGATATGAATGAGTTAACTGGTAAAAACTCTAAACTGAAGTGCTATTACGCATCTCTTTTATTCAGAAGTTTGTTGGGTATGGGAAATGTTATCTTTTGTGTTGGTTTTGATTTAATTTTTGACAGTAAGTACTACTTAGTTGACTGTGCCTATAAATACAAATGAAAGGCTTTAAGTATATAAGTTTTATAGGCCAGTGGGAATTTTGAACTAGCAGGGATTTGCATTGTGCATCTGAGGTTTACAGGTGAGGAAGTGAAGAGATTTTGTCAGAGTCCTTCCATCTGCTACTGAGCTGTTTATGTGGGCTCGCTCAGTGTGCTCTCCAAGTGCAGAGATAAGTATCCTATGGATCCTACGGTGTTGAGGTATAGAATCCAACTCCAGAATGAAACAGTGTAGGCTCAAATCCTGGTTCTGACATTAGCAATGTCACCTTGGTTACATTCTGGGAAGCTCCACACCCCCATTCATGAAATGGGAGTCATGATAACACTTTTCTCATTTGAAAGAAGTCTAAAGTAATGAGATAATGTGTATGAAGTTCCGGGCACAGAGTAAGCACCCAGTAAACATTAGTACTAATTATCAATATTTTTGTAAGCGATGGGATCATATTTCCAATTCTGTATTATAACTTGTTTTTTAAGCTACCATGAACACATATCTACACATTCTTATTTAAAAAAAAAAGATTTTATTTATTTGAGAGAGAGAGCAAGAGAGAGCACAAGCAGGGAGGGAGAGGGAGAAGCAGACTCCCCCTTGAGCAGGGAACTGTCATGGGGCTTGATTCCAAGACCCTGGGATCATGACCCCAGCCAAAGGCAGATGCTTAACCAACTGAGCCCCCCAGGTGCCCGTACATCATTCTTCTTATGGTTGCATTGTATTTACATTATACGATAGGCTCTGATTTATTTGGTTCTCAACCTTGTAGAAATGATCATAATGTGGGTCAAAGCACCATCCATTTTGCCCATCCATGGAAAGCAGTGCTGTGTTTTGATGTTCAAATCTATCCGGAGACCTTTAGCATCACACAGCTTAATCCAAACAAGAATTGAGTGTTCTTTAAAGAACTACATCAGAATCTTTCACGCAATAACACACGGCTAAACCTGTCAAGATGCTCTCTACTGGATAGATTTCTAGGCTTATCAGCTTAGGAAATTTCTTTCGCAGCTAGCCTCACTTCTAAAATATCACTGTTGAGATCCAAATACTTGTTTTCTGCCTTGCTAAGTGAGTAAATGTCTGGATACTTCCCTGACTGTAGTTTCTGCACATGCCCAAGACTGGCTTAATTAGGAAAGAAGAAAGTGCCATAATTCTGCCATAAGCTACCAATAATGCAGCAGTGGGGGTCCCTGAGAACCTTTATTATTCAAATGCTTGTGGCTTCTTGAATAAAGTGGATGACTAAGTATACTCATCGTAGTAAGAGAGATTATTAGCAGTGGGAGACACATTTGAACTTGCTGAAAGGGCTGCCTTTGTATCCAAGAAGGCCTCACTTGGTGATTATAAGACCAGGTCTTCCTTTTATCCCTGCCGTCTTTTTCACGCTTGCCACGTCTGAATAGCGTTCTGGTGCCTGTTAATCCCTGCAGGAATGCGGCTTTGGCTACGGGGAGGATGCCCAGTGCATGACGTGCCGGCCTCAGAGGTTCAAGGAGGACTGGGGCTTTCAGAAATGCAAGCCGTGCCTGGAGTGCGCGGCCATGAACCGCTTCCAGAAGGCCAACTGCTCCGTCACCAGCGATACTGTCTGCGGGGACTGCTTGCCAGGGTACGTTGGGTGATTCCTTTCCCCCGTAATCATAGGATGATGATTAAACAAACATTTCCCTTGTTCCCCCTGAAGGTGATCACACCCCAACAGGAACCTGCACACATCTGGCGAGCGGTCGGGACATCCTCTGTGCCCACCATGTGCTGCGCCCCGTGACACGGGCTGGTTACGAATAAAACGCATAAGTAACGCTAACACAGGATTAGTGTCACGAGAATCTAAAGAGCTTCCTATAAATTGATGAAAAAGAAAATGTGGACAGATGGACAGAAGAGTGATTGGGCAATTCACAAAAGAGGCAACACGTGTGCCCTGTGATCCTATGTCCACGTTCATCCTCATTAGTGATCAGAGAAATGCAAATCACAGCCATTCACTCATTTCCACGGATATTTGTGAAGCAGCGTGAAGACATTGCTTTAGGAGAAGTGAAGCGTTGCTGAGGTAGAGAGGCCAAGAACCCTACCCGTGTGGAGTTTAGATCCTAGTAAGGGTTTTCAAAAGAGCTAAACAGTAAATGATACATAAATTCTGCAGAAACGTAGCAGAGGATGATTTCTGTAGAAGAAAGAGAACCTAGAGCAGGTAAGGTGGATTAGGCATGCCCCATGGGCAAGCAAATGGCAGTGTTCAGGTGGGTGACCAGGGTAGGTGAGCTCTGAGCAAGACTTGGAGGAATTCAGACAGTTTGCTGAGTAGGTGTGGGGGGAGAAAAGCACTGTGGACACAGGAATGCAGAGACAGGTCCTAACATGGACATGACCCTGGAGTTCAGGTGCTCTAGCAGTCTAACATGGGAATCTGGGCTCTCAGGCACTGCAGAGGCAGGGCTCTAACTGGACTTAGCCAGAATACGCCTACAGATCAGGGTAGCTCTGACCAAATGGCATAGTGCTAGTTCTGGGGCTCGTGTGTGTGTGTGTGTGTGTGTGTGTGTGTGTGTGTTTTAAGATTTTATTTATTTATCTGAGGATGAGAGAGAGAGAGGGAGGGAGGGAGGGAGGGCATGAGTGGGGGCAGGGCATGGTACAGAGGGAGAGGGAGAAGCAGGCTCCTTGCTGAGCAGGGAGCTCGATACAGGGCTGGATACCAGGGCCCTAAGATCATGGCCCAAGCTGAAGGCTGATGCTTAACCGAGTCACCTAGATGCCCCTCTGGGGCTCTTGTTGAGGGCAGAGGGGAAGACAGACCTGTGGGCCTGAAGGACAGAAACAGGACAAGAAATAATCTGATGGGCCAAGTGTGACCCTATGCAATGACTCAGCACCTGAACAGGTGCAAAATGTAGTGGTCTGACACCAAAAGCACAAGCAATAAAAGAAAATAGCTCTTAGACTTCACCAAAATTAAAATCTTTTGTGTTTCAAAGGATATCATCAAGAAAATGAAAAGACAACCCACAGAATTAGAGCTATTTATAAATAATATATGATAAGGGATTGTCTTATCTAGAATATATAAAGAACTCTTACATCTCAATAATGAAAAGACCAATAACCAATTAAAATATGGACAAAGGATTTGAATAGACACTTCTCCAAAGAAGATACACAGATAGCCAACAAGCCCATGAAAAGATGTTCAGTGTCAATTTGCATCAGGGAAATGCAAATTAAAACCACATACTTCAAGCCAACTAGGATGGGTGTGACCAGAAAGACAATGACAAGGGTTGATAAGGACATGGAGTAACTGGAACCATCATCCACCATTGGTGGGATTGGAAAATGATGGAGCTACTTTGGAAAACAGTCTGGCAGTTCCTCAAAAAGTTAAAATAGAGTTACCATGTGACCCAGCAATTCCGCTTTTAGGTATTATAACCAAGAGAATTGGAAACCTGTCCACACAAAAACGAGTACACAAATGTTCAGAGCAGCATGATGTGTAACGGTCAAAAAGTGGGAACAACCCTGATATCCATCAACTGATAAATGGCTTAACAAAATGGAGTATATTCAAATGATGGAATATTATTTGATGATAAAAGGGGGTGAATTACTCATAACATGCAACAAAATGGATGAACCTAGAAAACATGCTCAAAAGAAACCAATGACAAAAGGTGTATTCTATGATTTCATTTGTATGCAGTGTCCAGAATGGGCAGATCTATAGAGTAGAAAGAATATGAGTGGTCACCTGGGGTCAGGGGGTTTTGGGAAGACTGAGGGGTGACTGCTTAAGGGTACAGCATTTCTTTTTTTGGTGTGATGAAGATGTCTAAAATTGTTGGTTCTGATGGTTGCTCAGCTCTGTGAGTACACTAAAGACCATTTAGTTGTACACTTTAAGTGGATGGATTGCAATATATGTGAATTAGATTTCAGTCTGCTACTTAAAAAAAAAGGAATGGTCTATAATCTCAGGTGATGCTGATACCAGTGAATATTATTATCCAGGATTTTGACCTCAAGCAGACTGATCGAGGAACACGAACAGAGCATCTGACTCATCTCTGCTGTTCCTATTTTCCGCTTCTGACAAAAGCATGTCAGTGCCCACCTGCTCTCTTCATCTATGGGGCAGGGAGAAGAGGAGGTCCATGGGAGATTCAGGGGTGAGAGAGTGGGGAAGACCATAGGACCAAGGGATTTAGTTTTTACAAAGAGGGAATCCACAGGGTTTGTGACTGGAGTGTGAGAGAGGGTGCGTTCTCCCCAGGACCTGGCACCAAAGTGCTTCCTCGTGCTTCATTGTCACCTGAGCCCACGGCTTCAGCTTCAACAGTGTTTGTTCATTCCTTAAGTAAATCCTTAGATGTGGGAAAGTCATATATAAGTGAATAGACATTTGAATGATGTTTCATAGTTTATTTATATGATTAGTTTAAAATTACATCCTTTCTAAGCCAGCATGAATGTATGTGGCAGGCAATAATTACATAGTGACTTTGACCCAGGCCTTCCAGAGTGTTTTAAGGTGCTCACCCACCCTCACTATATGTGTGTGAAGAAGGTAAAGAGTTGAAACCCATTTTATAGAGAGGAAAATTAAGGCAGAAAGAAAATAAGCCATTTGCCTATTGCTCCCAGAAAAAGGATGCCAAAGTCAGGCAGAGGGTGGGCATTTTCATTCATAGTGCTACTTCTGCCTTCTGAAGCCTCAACCTCACCCAGATAAGAATCTTCTGCTGCCCATAGGCTTAGCCCCAACAGAACAGTAGCGGCTTTTTCCCCAGTAACAGTACAGTGTGGGAATAGTCTGTCCTCGGTGCCCTCAATTTGAGTGATTGAAGACAGACAGTCCCCTTGTTCCCAAATATGACTTAAGGCTAATTCCTTAATTTTTCTGACACCCATACTTCTCACCTACAAATGATCATCTAATAATACCAACCTGCAAAATTGCTGGAATGATTGAGAATATAATGCGTGCAAAGTACCAAGCAGAGCGCCTAATCCATAGTAAGCACTAAATACATATTTGACCTCGTCACCAATTAATGTTACTGGAAACCAGTGGAAGCTTCACATGACTTGTTCTATTTTGTCTTGTTTACAATGGGCCTCCAACCTCCCCTTCTGGCTCCCATGTTCCCACTCTTTCTCTGCTAAGGGGACCTGGGGCCTGGCCTGAAAGAATTAACCTGGCCCCTGATGGTTCTTTGCTGTTCCTAGTAACCATGATAGTTAACATGTATTCAGCATTTACTATGTGCTGAGCAGTTTATTTAATCATCAAAACCATTCCATAAACCAGGGAGTAATACCAAATACCCTTTACAAAGGAAGCAGTTGATCCTTGGAGGGGATAAATGACTCACTCAAGGTCGCCTAGCTTGTCATTTCACTGCTGAGCCCCCATACCTAACCCTGTGTCTGGTTTCACAGGGAGAGTCCCCTGGAGCCTCTGTGACCGGTGACTAACCAGGGGGCTGCCACTGCCCTTCCGTGCTCTACCCTCACTGCACCCGCACACCCCATCAGCCTCCTGGCTCCGGAAAGTTGCTGGCATTGCCTTGGTGAGCTTTCTCATCTTGGTGCTTGGTCCTCCTTTGCCCATTCTCAGAGTTCACTCCATGAACCACTACACTGAGCTTGGCTTTGACCCTAGTGGTTCATCTCTTCCTTAGTATTTGTTCAGTTTCAACAAGGGGCCATTGCTGTGGATTGCTGAGGAACATAAATAGTAGGCTGTCCATCAATACGAAACTGGTACAAATAAGAATATGGGAGGGAAGAGCATGCCCAGTATCTAACATGCACTGCAGAAAATTTAACCATGGCTTGACCATAAGACACAGGACACAGTCACTGCCTTCCAGACTGCATTAAGCGAGATCATTATAAAACCAGAGTTGGACTATGGTGTGTCGTCTCCCTGCAGCAGTGCTCTCAGTGAATGAAGAGTTGATGGTCTACAACCAGGCTTTCTTAAAATAGCACTTTTCAAACATGGTGTCCATTAGGCAAACTGGTGTTATTTGGATCCAGTCCAATTAAAAATTCCTCTCCAATTTCAGTGTTGGAGAAAAATTAGAATCTAAAAGATGTATTTATATGCTGCCTTTCACCAAACCATGATTAGATAAAAGCCAGTATGGTTTCCTTTTGTCTTTATTGCATTAGCTATCTGAACGCCCAGAGTAAAATCTGAAGTTTGACTATAGAAGCCAGTTTAGCCAGACACCTGTGTATGTCCTGGGTCCCTTTTATTTTATTTTCTTAAAATTTGTATCCTTTCTCATTTGGGCAAAAAGCAGAGTTGCAAATGTTTCTGTGGCCCCAAACCATGACAGTCTAAGCAAAAGAATGTAAAATAATTTTTTAAAATTCTTACATGTATTTATTCACTGAATATTTTCAATTACATGTTAAAACTCTAGTTTCTGCATCTTCACCTTCAAATTGGAGGATAAAATGGAAAATTTTGTTAAAAATTATCTCCTGGGGATCCCTGGGTGGCGCAGCAGTTTGGCGCCTGCCTTTGGCCCAGGGCGCGATCCTGGAGACCCGGGATCGAATCCCACGTCGGGCTCCCGGTGCATGGAGCCTGCTTCTCCCTCTGCCTGTGTCTCTGCCTCTCTCTCTCTCTCTGTGACTATCATAAATAAATAAATAAATAAATAAATAAATAAATAAATAAATAATCTCCTGAAAAAATTAGATTAAATTAATTAAAATTTAAAAATTAAAAATTCAGTCAAAAAAAAAAAAAGAAACAAACCTTAGATTCTGCAATCCAGCCATTGGCATAAAGAAGCTGGCAGAGCAGATTCTGAATGCTTTTTGTCAAATCTCTGTGCAGAGCTGTGGATAGCTGCTCTCAGAGTAACATCCAAGCATCATTTCTCCTAGTGAGCAGTGTTTACACACACGGGAGCCTCATGAATCGCTGTGCACACTCAACCTCAGTTCTAGTTAGTATTTCAAGCTGTTTATACTCGTATCTAGTGTTATTCTAAACGTGATGTAATTTGCTCACCTTCTAGCCTCATTTCCAATGATGGCTCAAACCCATATTTTAATCAATATATTTTTGGGAAATATATTTCATTCAATTGTCAGGGAAAGCTCAGACCTCAAAACTTGCCACTAGATTTCCTTATTTTAAGAATGTTAAATGTCTGTGTTTGTTTCCCAAAGAGTATGTATTTCTCTGTCAATTGTTGATACAGAAAATGTTGGATATTACATTTTTATTTCACTTGTTCTGAATATTTATTTACGTAGAATGGGTATGTATAAAATGATTTGAGACTGTGTCAATGTTCAGTTACTTATATTTGTCAAATTTTCTGGCTGAAGGGATAAATAGTATTAGTTTGCATATATTATAATGTTTAATAAAAATCTATCTTTAATAAGAAAGCTCTCATATAGCCTTATGGTTCTTTCTTACCTCATGTTAAAATTTTTTATGTGTTTTTGTTGTAAAAAACACATAACATAAAATTTACCATCTTAACTATTTTTAAGTATACAGTTCAGGAGTGTTAAGTACATTCACAATGCTGTAAGTGGCTCTCCAGAACATTTTCATCTTCCCAAACTGAAATTCTATATCCATTGAACAATAACTCACCTTTTCCTCCTCCCCTCAGCCCCTGGTAACCACCATTCTACTTTCTGTTTATATGAATTTGATTACATGCCTAATACAAATGGAACCATGTAATATTTGCCTTTTGTTACTGGTTTGTTTCATTTAACACATCCTCAAGGTTCATCCATGCTGTAGGGTGTGACAGGATATTTTTCCAAGTACCTTTGTGCTGCATTCACTTTCTGGCTATTGTGAATAGTGCTGCTAGGAATATGGATGTGCAAATATCCCTTCCACGCCCTGCCTTCACTTCTTTTGGATACAGCCCAGGAGTAGAATTGCTGGATCATATAGTAGTTGCATTTTTAATTTTTTGAGGAACTGCTGTTGTCCCCAGCAACTGCATCATTTTACAGTGGTTCCAATTTCTCTTCATATCCTCCCCAACACATATTATTTTCCAATTGTGTTGTTTTGGTTTGGTTTTTAGTAGCCATCCTAATGGGCATAAGGTGATACTTCATTGTGGTTTTCATTTGCATTTTCCTGATGATGAGTGAGGTTGACTGTCAGGCATCTTTTCATGTGCTTATTGGCCGTTTATATATCATCTTTGGAAAAATATCTATTCAAGTCCTTTGTCCATTTTCTAATCAGGTTATTTGATTTTTGTTGTTGAGTTATAGGTATTCTTTATATATTCTAGATATTAACTCCTTGTCAGATATATGGTTTGCAAATATTTTCTCCCCTACCATAAGTTTTTCACTCTGTTGATTGTATCCTGCTTTTAAAATCCTGAAAAAAATTATTATTTTATTATCAGTTAATACTTTTTTGATGTGACTTAACTTGTTTTAACTACTTTATTGAGGTATAATTGACATGTCAAAAGCTGTACATATTTACTTGATGAGTTTAGGGATAAGTATATATTGGTTTTATCCTTACTGCATAAAATTTTTAAGTTTCATGTAGTCCAATGTGTCTATTTTTCCTTTTGTTGTGTGTTTCACATATGCCTTTAGATTGCCTTTTATTGTCATATCCAAGAAATCATTGCCAAATTCAACATCATGAAGTTTTTCGCATTTTCTTTTAGAAATTTTATAGTTTTTGGGTCTTATGTTTAGGTCTTTAATTCATTTTGAGTTAGCTTTTTTGTATGGTGTTAGATAAGGTTCCAACTTCATTCTTTTGCATGTGGATATCCAGTGTTCACAGGACCATTTTTTAAGGAGACTGTCCCATCCCCAGTAAGTGGTCTTGGTACTCTTGTTGAAGATCATTTGACCATATATGTGAGAGTTTATTTTTGGGCTCTCTATTTCATTCCATTGTTCTCCATGTCTCTCTTTATGCCAGTATTGATTATTATAGCTATCACTGATTATTATACTGTTTTGTATGCTGTACACTTTATTGATACTGCACACTATATTGATTTTATAGCTTTGTGATATGTTTCAGTATCAGGAAGTGTGAAAAATGAAGACTAAGCAAATACAGAATGTATCTGGGCATTTCAAATAATTTACCTAATTTTAAATGCAAATTTTGCTTCAACCATAAATCATACAGATTTGCTACCACAATATCCAATTTCACAAAATAATTGCATCTATCTTGCCCTCTATAGACTTGGTTTATTCTCCATATCATTATTTTGTCATAGAAAGATGTATTTTCAAATATATTTAGAAATAATCACTGTTAAGTTAGGTATATAATATCTTACAAATTTTTCTCAATACAAATTTATGTATGTAAGTTATATTAGCTGCTTTGGTAAAAAATCTAAAAGGATATATAACAAAGTATGTGCTTGTACAAAACGGAATTATATTATTCACCTTTCCTTTTTTAACTTATTGATATTCTGAGTTAGAAAAAAATGTATAGGAGATCTACATCATTGTTTCTTTAAAGGCCACTTTGTATTCCATTGCCTTGGGACTACCATGGTTAGTCATATCTACTGTTGTATACTGAAATTGTGCCTAACTGGGTTTTTTTCTTCTATACACAATACTATGATGGCATTGTTATACATACAGCTTCACTCACTTGATTGTTTCTTTAGGATAAATTTCAAAAAAATGAAATTACTGATTAAAGGATATATAAACTATTTTACTGAGTTCTGATGGCATATTGCTACATTGCCCTTCTACAAGTAGCAATTTATAATGCCACTGGTACATAGGCATGTGCTTATTTTGTCAATACTCACACCAACACTTTCCAAGTTTTCTAAGTAAAAATGGAATATTGTCATTGCAACTTGCATTTACTTGATTAATTTAATGAAGTTAAACATTTCAATGTTAAATTTTTAAAAATTTAATCACATCGTGTTTCTAGTTTTAAGTTTTAAAATTCTGAAATATTCTTCTTTTGGGAATTAATAATGTTCTTTGCCTATCTTTCAACTGCAATATTCACCTTTACCAGTATGGTTTTTTAGGTTTCTATTACAGACTGGAATCAGATAATACTATGATTAGAACCATTTTTCAGTTTTCTTTTGCCTGTTGACTATGTTGATGATGCTTTATTTATTTTTTGCTCTTTGGATGTCTTTAATATTTTGTGTATGTGTATGTATGGGTCTGTGTGTATGCATGTGTGTATGTATGGGTGTGCATGGGTGTGTATGGGGGAGGTATGGGTGTCTAGGGGTGTGGTAAAAGCTGTCAATCTCTTTCATTCTGGCTCCTGGGTTTCTTGTCATGCCTAGAAAGGTTATCCTTATATGAAGGCTGTATAAGTATCTCCCGATTTTTTTCCATTGCTTTTATAGTTTGCTTGGCTTTTTTTGGTCTCTGAATTTCAAGTGTTTAAAAACTGGCACTTGATTTACAAGGAATTTTGTCATTTAAACTACATAGAAATGCCAAAGACCACTGATTTCCTAATCCCTCACTAGCACCAGCACCTCAGTATAGTGGGGCTGAGAAGAATTTACAAAGTTATGTTTAGTGGAATTGATATTTCTTAAATGGTCACTGCATCTAAGGGTGTGTTTGTGGGGATTCCTGGGTGGCTCAGCAGTTAAGAGCCTGCCTTCTGCCCAGGGCGTGATCCTGGAGTCCCAGGATGGAGTCCCACATCGGGCTTCCTGCATGGAGCCTGCTTCTCCCTCTGCCTGTGTCTCTGCCTCTCTCTCTCTCTCTGTGTCTCTCATGAATGAATGAATAAAATCTTTAAAAAAAAAATAAGGGTGTGTCTGTCTGAGAGAGTGTTGTATGTAAGCCTTTTTGTTGCTTTTTTTGAAAAAAGTAAAACTGATAATGGAGATGACTGATAATTTCTAAACATCGTGAATCTCTTTGCTGCAACTCTGAGCTCAGAAGAAAGAGCTGATGAGGATTCTTTTCTTTTCTCCTCTAGGTTTTATAGGAAGACAAAACTTGTCGGTTTTCAAGACATGGAGTGTGTACCTTGTGGAGATCCTCCTCCTCCTTACGAGCCACACTGTGAGTCAACTCCATACAAGCACAGCAGAAGGGCTCTCGGCCTTTTTTTATTTTTTTTTAAAGATTTTGTTTATTCATGACAGACACACAGAGAGAGAGAGAGAGAGAGAGAGGCAGAGACACAGGCAGAGGGAGAAGCAGGTGCAGGGAGCCCAATGTGGGACTCCATCCCAGGGCTCCAGGATCACACCCCGGGAGGAAGGCGGCGCCAAACCACTGGGCCACAGGGGCTGCCCTGTAGGCCTTTTTAAGAAACTTTCCTGCAGTTAGCAAATGGGGCAAAATCTCTCTCCACTGTGGGGCTTAGAGTGTGCATTCTTTTGTCAAGCTTCCAGCAGGATATAAAGCCCTTTTGTTGTGTGCCTCAGTCAGCAAACTGTGTCCCTTGATTTGAATCTGAGAGCAAGATACAGACATTTTGCTGCTGCTTGTTTCATTCAAACTTCTATCTTGGGTTCTAGGTTTCTAACTACAATTAAGTAGGTGATCCAATCCTAAGGCATACTGTCTTTGCCTCGGGCTCATGAATTTCGATGTTTTCCCATCTTTTAGGCCCCAGTACTGTCCTATGGTGGCTTCCCTACCTTTCCAGAGACTTTCGTCACCATGAATCACCTGCCCTAATTAATGTATTTAAATTAAATATTGGCTCATTTCATTCACTCCTTCGTTTTTCTCCTTTAACACATAAATAGGAAGAGAAAAGCCATTGCATGGTGGGAGTACAGCTAAATGAGAAATTTTGCCTTTTCTTCTCTGTATTAACAGTAATCTTCTTGATTGTATTGTTTCCTTCAATATAAAAGGTATTTGTGACAGGGCTAGCGATTTGTGTTGATTTTGAACAGGAAGGAGAGTGGATCCTCACTTTTCTTAGTCCTAAATACACATGTGGCCAGTGGAAGTTTACAGGTGATGGGTCAGGAAAGAAGGCAGCAGGTGGGCTCCCCCAGGGTGCTCAGGACTTGTCTTTGCTAAGCAGGATGATCGTACAGAAGCACCAGCGAAGCCTGGGTAGGGGGGTGGGGGAAGGTGCTCCATCCCATGCATGGGTTGCTTATGCCTTTCTGGGGAGCATGGGTAATACTCTGAGGTCCTCTTGATTCTTTCTGTGACAGGAGCCCTCTTTGAACTAACTGAAAGTCATTGCATTATTGATAAGACCACACAGTACTTGTGTTTCCAAGAATGTCCCGGAATTTGCTGTCCGTATTATTCTTTCCTTTACCAAAATACATTATTTCTTATTCTTCATTTGATATAGTATGGTAGAAAGGCCAAAAAAAAAAAAAAGAAAAAAGGATTCTTCCTAAGTTTTACAAAAATATGTGGTGACTCTTTTTTATAATATACAAATATTTGCCAAATAATTGTATGTATGTATGTATTTATTTATTTATTTATGAGAGACAGAGAGAGAGAGAGAGGCAGAGACACAGGCAAAGGGAGAAGCAGGGAAGCAGACTCCTGCTGGGAGCCCAATGTGGGACTTGATCCCAGGACCCTGGGATTACGTCCTGAGCAGAAGGTAGTTGCTCAACCACTGAGCCACCCAGGCACCCCTAATTCATTGTATTTAACAAATGCAGTATCAAATGTTACTTATCAGTCCTAGGAGGTAAAAATACTGTTTGCTTAGTTTTCTGTCCCATCATCAGCCTACATTTGTCAATGAGGACACCAGGTCCAGAAAGGTTCATACCTTTCCATTGTTGCCTGGGGAATGGCGAAGACACCATTCAGACCCAGGTCTGTCTAACGCCGAACATTCTGCCTTTGTCACCACACTCTATTGTCTCCCTGAGAAAAACCGAAGTATCTAATCTGTCCTCTGTTGGTTGATGTAATCTACTACATTTGACTTTTTGTTTGCTTTAATATTCGTCATTTAAACAAAAATTCTAAAAATCTAACCTAGAGGAGATCTTTATGCTACACAGCCTGTAAAAGGACATGTCCTCTTGCCAATTAAAATGGGGCAGTGACCTGGGCTTGCCATCATTTTGTCCAGAAGGCAAATCAAGATCATGCCCTTCATCCCAAACTACCATTAAGTGATTTAGTAAAGTAACTGCTATTGCCCAGTTTAGAGTTGGAAAGTACTAGGATTTTTTTTTTCTCTTTAATTTATTCAGTTTAAATTTAATATGATCTGGTCATAAGTCTGAGGCATTGGAATTTTTTGCCTTTAGGGATCTGGCTAAGCTCGGACATCATAAATTAGACTTTAAACATAGTTTTCACATTTAACTTCCAATGTCTTGTAGAGCCCTGAGTAAGTTACAGTTTGAAAAGAAAATTAACTAATTTAATTTATTATGTATAGATATATCCCACCATATATGAAATTCTTTAGAAAGCAAAGAAAAACAAATAATTTCTGTAAGTCAGAAATGCAGCATGCAAGGTAATAGCCTTTCAAATCATGAAACAACAGTCTGGGATCTTTAGTGAGTGTTAATCCTTATCTCTGTAGAGGAGAGTTTGCTGCCTTTGGCACAGTTCTTGGGAATATGTCCAGGGCACAACTAATCTCCTCAAAAGAGATCTTGAAATCTTTTGGGGGAATTATGTAAGGCGCCTTATGTTTTCATTTCTTCTACTCAGAGTATTTCAACTCATCCACAAAGAACTACTTCTCTAGTAATTTTTCCCTGCTGAGGGGTTCCTATTTTATTTAGACTCAGCTGTAAGAAAGTGATGCCACTCAAGCTGGCTCAAGTAATGGGGTTTGTTTTAAGGATATACATAGTAGTGAGAGACTGGAACTTCACTCAACCTGGGCGCAGTCCTTCCTTGGAACCAAGGGCAGCCCTGGAGTCGGGGGGCTGTAGCCCCCCACAACAGGAGGCTCCGAGTCCTGCCCTGGCTCTGGTCAGCACCACTGATGCTTCCTCAGTCTGCAGAGTTCTGTTTACATCTCCTCCTTTCCTTTCGTGCTTCCAAGAAGTTGGTCCATACTTCCTCAGTCATGCTTTTCAGGGAGAGAATCTCATTGGCCAAGGAAAATACCACTGTCCTATAAGACCCGAGTCTGTTTGATTTAACTGTTGAACAAATCTTTGGGTGCCTTCTGGGGTCCAAGCGCAGAGTGATGGACAAATAGATCCCGATTCTTTTCTTCGTGAGCTTATGGTATAGTAGGGGAGTTGTCAGATAAGCACTCCAAATTTAACAGTATTTAGATACTACCCACATAGATGCAAAAGTGTGGTTGGCCAGTCCTGTCCCTGAAGGGATCTGCAGTGCTCTAAGAATGTATAATGGATCATGATGTAGGAACATTACGGAAGATTTTCCAGAACTGTGACTTTTGAGCTATGATCTAAAGGATCAGTTGGACGAAGATGAACCAGAAAAGGTGACTAAACAGAGGACCAGGGAAGTCGGAGGAAGCCAGGAGCGCATGTAGAACATCCTCTCTTGTGCAAGTCAAGTCAGTTGACACTGGAAATGTCCTTTGTACTTAACATCTTGGAAGTCATGACACTGACAAGCACCACCTCACTGAGTAATGGAAATGAAGCCAGATGATAATGAAAGGACAAGCTAACGTAAGGGGAGGAATAGAGATGATTATGAACAACTGTCTAGAAGTTTACCTGTGAAGGTAACATGGGAATATGCAGGCAACGGAAGGATTTCATTTTGTTTTATTTCGTTTCTGAGGTGAGAGACACATATGCTTATTTGCAGGTTGAGGGAGATGGTCCAGTTGAGAGAGGTTGACTATTTTATATGAGAGAACAGTAGAATGATCAGTCATGGAAGGTTTGCTGGAAAAGGATCTAGAAGCTCGTTTGTTGGGTTGGCCTTCTCTGGAAGGAGCAAGTGCTCCCTGCGGTAACCAGCGAAGGTGGGGAGTGGGGCAATGAACATGGACCTCTGCATTCCGTGGCAGGGGGTGAGGGGCTCGTGGATTTGGCTTCTGTGTGTGTGAAGTCAGAAGCATTGTGTTCTGCCCAGTGAGGCATGAGCCAAGGAACTCAGAGGCTGCAAAAGCACAGGTGTTTGAGAGTCTCATTACACAGTGGGGGAGGGAAGTTGATTTGAGAAGATAGTGGGTTTCCTGGTAGCACCAGGAAGGTGTACAGATGAAGTTTGTGGTCATAGCAAAGCACCATTTGCTCCTCAAATGACGTCTGTAGGTACTTAGGCTGTAGGGATGACTCAGGCCACCTCTGAGGCTGCCCCAAAACAGATATAGATTGAGCCCTAAATGTGCAGCTTATAGCAAGCTACAAACAAGCCTTGATAATATTGCCTGTCTTAATAACACAAGAATAATTTTAAATGGATGTAAATAAATTATCTTGTATTTATACAATACCTGAAATAAGCCAAAGTAATGACATGAGAACTGAAACCTTCCCACATTTCTGTCAACTCTCCAAGGGACCACATATCACATTTCCTATATCTAGTCATCCATCGATGGACGGAGTTATTCATGGCTATCCTAAATAATGCTGCAATGAACATGGGATGCAGATATCTTTTTGAGTTAATGCTTTCATTTTCTTCGAAAATTGCAGAAGTGGAATTGCTGAGCTGTATGGTAGTCTTTTTTTTTTTTTTAGGAATCTCCATATTGTTTTCCATAATGGCTGTACCAATTTACATTCCCACCAGCAGTGCACAAGGGTTCCCTTTTCTCCACATCCTCACTAGCATTTGTTATTATCTTATCTTGTTGATAGGAGCCATCCCAATAGGCGTGAAGTGATAGCTTATGGTGGTTTTGATTTGCATTTCCCTGATGATCAGTGATATTGAGCATCTTTTCATGTGCCTGTTGGCCATCTGTATGTCTTCTTTGGAAAAATGTCTATTCAGACCCTCTGCCTATTTTTTAATCAGATTTCTTTTTGCTATTGAGTTGTATGAGTTTTTATATATTTTGGATATTAACCTCTTATCAGATGTCTGATTTATAAATATCTTCTCTCATTCAGTAGGTTGCTTCTTCACTTTGTTGATGATTTCCTTTGCTCTGCAGA